GGTTCAGCACACCGAGCGGTGCATTAAGGACATAAGCCTTTTGTGCAGTAATGAGGACAATCCTCAGTTTACGGACCCAGTCCGCATAATTGCTACTATCAACTTTCAACTAAATTTTCTCTAGGAACATATCTAAAATAGTAGAACTAAAGTGCGAGCTACGACATAATTTGTAAAGACCTTTTGACTATGTTCATGATAATTAAGTTCATCTAATCAAATTATTAATGAACGCCCACTCAGATAGATATCCCTCTAGTCATCTAAGTGATACATGATCCGAGTCAACTAGGCCGTGTCTGATCATCACGTGAGACGGACTAGTCATCATCGGTGAACATCTTCATGTTGATCGTATCTACTATGCGACTCATGTTCGACCTTTCAGTCTCTTGTGTTTCGAGGCCATGTTTGTACATGCTAGGCTCGTCAAGTCAACCTAAGTGTTTTGCATGTGTAAATCTGGCTTACACCCGTTGTACGTGAATGTTAGAATCTATCACACCCGATCATCACGTGGTGCTTCGAAACAACAAACTTTCACAACGGTACACAGTTAGGGGGAACACTTTCTTGAAATTTTAGTGAGGGATCATCTTATTTATGCTACCGTCGTTCTAAGCAAATAAGATGTAAACATGACAAACATCACATGCAAATCATAAAGTGACATGAAATGGCCAATATCATCTTGCGCCTTTGATCTCCATCTTTGAGGTGCGGCATGATCACCTTCGTCACCGGCATGACACCATAATCTCCATCATCGTGTCTTCATGAAGTTGTCTCGCCAACTATTACTTCTACTACTATGGCTAACGGTTAGCAATAAGGTAAAGTATTACATGGTGTTTTTAATGACACAGAGGTCATACAATAAATTAAGACAACTCTTATGGCTCCTGCCGCTTGTCATACTCATCGACATGCAAGTCGTGATTCCTATTACAAGAACAAGATCAATCTCATACATCACATATCATTCATCACATTCTTTTGGCCATATCACATCACATAGCATACCCTGCAAAAACAAGTTAGTCGTCCTCTAATTGTTGTTGCATGTTTCACGTGGCTGCTACGGGTTTCTAGCAAGAACGTTTCTTACCTACGCAAAGCCACAACGATGATATGCCAATTGCTAATTACCCTTCATAAGGACCCTTTTCATCAAATCCGATCCGATTAAAGTGGGAGAGACTGGCACCCGCTAGCCACCTTATGCAACAAGTGCATGTCAGTCGGTGGAACCTGTCTCTGTAAGTGTACGTGTAAGGTCGGTCTGGGCCGCTTCATCACACAATACCGTTGAAACAAGATAGGACTAGTGACGGTAAGCATATTGAACAAATCATCGCCCACAACTACTTTGTGTTCTACTCGTGCATAGAATCTACGCATAGACCTAGCTCATGATGCCACTGTTGGGGAACGTAGCACAAATTCAAAATTTTCTACGCAACACCAAGATCAATCTATGGAGATTCTAGCAACAAGAGAGGGAGAGGATGAGCATCTTCATACCTTTGAAGATCGCTAAGCGGAAACGTTACAAGAACGCGGTTGATGGAGTCGTACTCGCGGTGATTCAAATCGCGGAAGATCCGATCTAGCGCCGAATGGACGGCGCCTCCACGTTCAACACACGTACAGCCCGGGGACGTCTCCTCCTTCTTGATCCAGCAAGGGGAGAGGAGAAGTTGAGGGAGAACTCCGACAGCACGACGGCGTGGTGGTGGTGGAGCTCGTGGTTCTCCAGCAGGGCTTCGCCAAGCACTACGGAGGAGGAGGAGGTGTTGGAGGAGGGAGAGGGCTGCGCCAGGGGAAGGGTGTGACTGCCCTCCGACCCCCTCATTATATATAGGAGGAAGAGGAGAGGGGGACGACCCCTCTAGATCCCATCTAGAGGAGGGGGCAGCGGCCAGGGGAAACCCTAGATGGGTTTGGGCGCCCCCACCCCCTAGGAAACTTCCCCCCCCCCCTCCCCAAGCCGGGAGGGGTGGCTGCCCTAGGGGAGGCGCCCCAACCCTTCA